CAAAGAGCATCATGCAACGATCTTTCTGCTTCATCTAGAATTTGTTGAGTGGCGCCACGCAGAACAATGGTACACGCCTCACCTACAGGGAAAACGTAGTATCTTATGCCAGCGACCACCTCATCACAGAACACCAGAGTTTGCCTTCTATTATTTATAAAGCTGTTGGCAACTTCAAGTTCTGGAAGTGCAAGTCTCTCACTAGTTACATTTTTATTCCTAATAATCCATGTTAACAATGGTTCTCAGTTTCAGGAAAAAACTGCTAAGTATACACTCTTCACACAGACACAGTAAACGTGAAATAAGTCTCAAAGAGGTGAAACAAAATACCAATTATGCTGTTCCAAGAGTTAAGACTTACTCCATACCATATTCTAGTACTGGATACTTTGCCACTCTAGTATAATCTAGTATTCGCTCCAACAGAGCCAAGCAAAGATTTAAACCCTAAACCCAGATCTACATAATCTCTTACCCAGGGCAACCCCAGAAAAGTGAATCAGTTTGTCTTCTCCAATCATAACTTCTTCAATAAGTTTGCAACTTCCAAGCTTCACCAGTTCCGGATGATCAAAAGTAGAGGCAATTTCACCACCTGTGAACATAAATATTAACTAAATGCTTAAAATAGATTTAATTTTTTTTTGCAGAGCCAGGGATTGAACTCAAGGCCCTTACACTTGCCAGAGAAACGCTTATTCTAATTGCACTATTTCCCCGGCCCCCAGATTTAAAATTTGCTCTCAAGCCTGAGAAAGGACTTAGTATCTTTACTAACACAACAAAATATAATTGTAATCTATAGCTATGACAAGCTTGGTATACTATTTGGTATACACTTTAAGCATTCCTAAACTGAAATTCTTAATACAAAACTGCTATCAACACACTACCACAAAGAAAATATTCCATATCTGACCACGTACGTGACAGTTCAGTCAAAATGCAGGTATGCTAAAAATACAAAATCACTACCAGACTACCTATCAGGCATATTCAAAACATAAATCATGGTGAAACTTGGGTCCCATTTTCAAGTTCTCCTATTATGTTCAATGTCTGCATTCCAGACAGCCTCTCAATAGTGAAAATCAAAAGTACCAATAACAGTAGTGATTCTACTGTTTTCAGCTTCCCAAGTGCCAGGATTACAGGTGCACACCACCACACCCAATCTCAGCCCCATCTCAGCACGCCCTGGGGGCAGGGCCAGACCAGCACATCAGAGATCGAAGCCTGGCTGCTGTGCTCTGCCTAAGCAGGCACTTTAGTCTGCTGTGCTATCTGGCCAACCCTACCAATGTTATTTATTTATTTATTTATTTATTTATTTAGTACCAGGGATTGAATTTAGGACACTGCACTTACCAGGTAGGTGTTATGTCGCTGAGCTATCTCTCCAGCCTTATTTTAGCACTCATATATATTCTAAGGCTTTGTAAACCCTTCCCATGCTCTTATAAACCTCCCCCCCCCACTTTTAAAAACACTTCTAGGGGCCAGGGAGATGGCTCAGTGAAATGAGCGCTTCCCTGGCAAGCACAAGGGTCTGAGTTCAATCCCCAGTTTCGCAAA